ATACATTTAAGATACGGCAAGAAAACAGAACAAGCTGGGGTCTTATAGTTGTGCTATTAAAGTAGACAAATCAATATGATCGTCATATTTTTCAAGTCTCTGGAGGAGGAAATCATGAGTTTTACTCTTAAAGTTGTATTTTGATAGCTGGCGCACTTCACAAGACAAGCTATTCCAGATTCTAACACCATTTCTTGAAAATGCCCTTTTTTGTATATCTAATCTTGAACTTTCAACAAAATAGTCGCCTCTTGAAGATGATCTTGTCTAATAGCGATCAATATTAGCTTGATAAGGGAATAAGTTAGATATGTTAGAAGGTGACAAATTATTGGATATGTCATGCATCATGATGGCAACTGATTTAAAGTAAAGCATATCCAAAGGAAGAAAACGAGAAGAAACAAAAATCGGGATTGCTTGAGATCTGTAGTCACCAAAGTACATTAAGCGAAGGGCTCGTTTTTGAAGGATTAGAATTTTATCTCTATGAATTTTTGCAGCTTGACCCCATGCAACTATACCATACAACAAATAGGGTTGGATAAGTGACCTGTAAATGTGGTTTAGAGTACTAAGGGGTACAACCTGTCTTAATCTAGAGATAACGCCAATTGATTTACTTATTTTGGATGCAATATGAGCAATATGTTGACCCCATGAAAGAGTTTCATCAATAAGCACTCCCAAGTATTTAATAAATTCCTTCCGTTCTAGAGAATTGTAACTGTTAGTATGATGGTCAAAGATTCTCAAATTTATTTGGTGATTCAGTTTTTTCTGTCTGGGCCGAAAAATAACAAAGTTAGATTTTTTTATATTCAGTGATAACTTGTTAACAATTAACCAATTGTAGATGTTGCAGAGTTCAGCATTAACTATGGTTTCAAGTAATGTAAGATCGTTTTTATCAGCATATAAGAGATTAGTATCATCTGTGAATAAGTAAAATTTAAATCTATTAGAGCTATTAGATATATCGTGTATATAAATGAGGAAAAGTAGGGGTCCTAACACCGACCCCTGTGGAACTCCTGATAAGATTACTTCCTTCTTGGATATATTTTTAACACCAATTTGTGTTGTTTGTTGTCAAGCTACTAGGTAAGAAGCAAACCACTTGTTCACTATTCCACGTATTCCGTAATGATTCAGCTTTTGCAATAATATTGAATGGTCGACCATGTCGAAGGCCTTCCTCAAGTCAATGAATTGAATATACCACACGAATACATCTTTTTGTCCAATGATGTTATTTTCAATTTGACTGATTATGTCCAGGATAGTGTGTTCAGTAGATCGTTTCTCGTGGAAACCATATTGTGAATCATTAAGTATATTATGTTTCTCAAGAAAGCATTTGAGACGATGATACATCATTTTTTCGAAAATATGATTAAAAACAGACAGAAGAGATATAGGTCTATAATTAGAAGGGTCAGATTCATCATCATTTTTATATATTGGAATAACTTTAGCAAGTTTTAGCTTAGATGGATAAGTTCCACATTCGAGTGATTTATTTATAATTATAGACAAAGGTTGACTAATGACATGTTTAGCAGATCTTAAAATGCGAATAGGTAGAGAATATAATCCATGAACTTTATTTTGAGGAATTTCAAGTTCAATTTCAGAAGGAGACANCAGGCAGAAGCAGGGGTAGAGGAAGGGGGAGAGGAAGAGGGCGTAGCAGTAGCCACCATGGAAGCTATCCTCATCCTAGATCACACTTAGCTGGTGATGATGATGATGATGATGACATAGACATGGATGAAGGAAGCCAAAGATCTCAATCAAGATAGTGAGAGTAGTGAACAAATCAACAGTGATTTAATTAGCCTGCTCTGCAGCACTCTTATCAACAACAATATTTGTCATCACAGTGGCAGAATGTGTCCTGACAAGGTGTAGCCTAGTGAGTCCGTAACAAATTTTGACCACTGTAATGATGAATATCATTGTTGATAAGAGTACAGACCATACTAAGCACTTTTTTTTACCACAATAATGACACGTTTACGTGAGCAGCAATGTCAGTACTCTTATTCCCAATGGCAAATTGGCCAATCAGATTGTGTTATTACTGCCTACTGTGGTAAAATATATTGCCTCCTGTTTGTTCATATACAAGAATGGCAGTTACCATTTATTTTATGGGGTGGCAGATATTAAATATTAGGGATTGATGGTACACCATGTTGTTCTGGCAACTGGGTCTAAGATCCAAAAGTCAGCTTTTCAAAAGTTACTACAGTGTTGTATATTGTATTTCCTCAATTCATGAATTTACATTGCAACAATTTTATTAATGTCTATGGTTATTTTGATGTAGCAATCCTTACAACAGAAGACCTCCGTCTCGTCGTGGAGACAGAGGAAGTAATAGAGGTGATGTAAGGTCTAGATTAGGGGCAGTCCCTGATAGAGCTGCTGGAACTCAAGGAAATAAGTCGGACTGGCATAAAGTTGTGGTGGGTATTAAAATATTTTGGCTACAATTGCACAACTACATGTACATACCTGTAAATGTTTTGTACCTTCCATATTTTAGTTGCAGGAAGTCTTACTTTGAAATTGGCCCTTAACCATTTGATCAGTATATTCTCAACTTCAGACATGTACGTGTAAATGACCTACCCCTCGTTGTTGCTATCTTCCCAACATGTTGAACCTGTTGCTATTCTGATAAATATTTGTTCAAACATTCCTTGTGTTCATGACAATCAGAATATTTGTAGCACTGGGGAAAAAGAAATCTCTATTACCAGTATTGTTTTTCAAGTTGTATAGAAAAGCATTTCATTGCCATTGTTCTAATCTACATGTATATGACTAAGACATTGTGATAAGTACATAGAGAGTTGAAATT